CCTGTGTTCTACCACATCTTACCCTTTCTCATTTGGCTTGGTGATAGAGGGAACTACAGTCTTTGATCATTGTGACTCTTTTGACGTGACAGGCCTTTTTTCTAGGAAGGAAACGTTCTACCCTAGACTTTTAGAAGTGTTTATTTTAAAGGGTTTGACCCTATAAAAAATATTGTATGTGGGAATAGCTTTATGTGCCCACAGACAATCTGTTTTCATGCTGCTTCCCCCTGAGCAGAGGTGATGACCAACTGCAAGAACTTGACTGTGGTTATGCTGGACCTTGACAGAGGAGAAAATTTGGTTGTGGGTGTTCAGGTCAGATTCCAGAGGATGACCCACTGTATTTTTCTTTCTCTTCCTAGTGCCTGAAGAGGCTGCATGTTGAGGAGAAGTCCTGCAGTTCTGCTGTAACAGGATTTCCAATCCCAACGTCTCCAAGGTAACTGTGGACAGCACGGGCTGCCTTAGGTCACGGGTTAAAGAGTCACTGGGCTGAAATTTTTTAGCATGCAGTCTAAAATTCTGCTCAAGGTGTGCTTTGATTTCTTAGCACCAGATTCTTAGTTCTGAGTGAGGACAATACCATGAAAGCTCTTCATTCCACTCACTGGAGGAGTATGGAGTGTCTGTTGCCTTTTAAAGATGATCCTGAACTAAAGCATTTAGGTTTTTATTTAAAAAAAAAAAATTCTTTCCTAGCAATTCTGTAGCCTGAGTTTCCTTATGGCTGACATTACATTTAAAGCATCTCTTTATTCAGCTACTTTTTTCCAGCAACATGTTATGTCTGTTGTCTCAGTGTGTTTTATTTCCAATTCCTGTTTGAGAACTTCCTTTCTCCTTATGCCCTTGTCCTGCCAGCACTGTGGACATGTTCATGTCTGATTACCACAGTTGATGCTGATCCTGCTGAGAGGAGCGTAGGAGAAATTGAATTTTACCACCCCAAGGATGTGGGGGTGGAGGGGAACTAATCCTGTTATAGGAAGTGACAGAGAGAGCAGCCTTGGAGAGTCAGGATTGTTCCTCTTGTTGCCAGTACAGATGGAAGTGCTCCCTGCCACTGGGAGCACTTCCCTCACTTTAAGATTCCTATTTTCAGTGGCAGAACAGCAGCAGCCCTTAGCTGTCAGGATTTCAGCTTAGGTGAGGAGTGGTTGGCACAGCTGTTTGCTTTCCCTTTTGCTAAAGAGAGCTCCTTCCTCTAACACAAACACACACTCCTTTGTTATCTGCTCGTGCATCTCTTGGGGGTTGTCTCAGCAACTCTTCTGTTTGTCTGCAGGAAAAGGACAGTTCAGCTGGAGGATTTTCACTGCATCGCTATGCTGGGCCGTGGCCACTTTGGGAAGGTAGTACAGAAGGACACTGGAGCAGGGCAGTGGGGCTGTGGTTGTGAAGATGGGGCTCTGCTTTGGGGTCTGAATAGAGACATTGCAGTACAGGAGAGATTTGTAGCAATGCAGATGCAGAACAAACCCAGCCCAGCCACACAAGCAGCTGAAAATGGTTGTTAACAGTCAAAACTCCTGAAGATTTGTGGCTTCAAAGCCTGGAGAAAACTGTCCTGGGAGTGCTAAATCATTTCATAAAGCACACCATTGCCATCCCTTTCATTATTATGAGGATCAGTTGTGGAATAGCTCCATTCCCAAAATCTGTGTGCTTGCTTGCTGTGAGAGCTCGTGAAGCACTGGGCCAGCTGTGAGAACATAACTTACACTGACATCCTTCTGCACTGCTGCAGCTCAAGGAGCAGAGCTCTGTTTTTGGAGTTCCTTGAGCTGGGTTTTGAGAATGACTGTGTGGAATTGATGGAAATAGTTTGTGTCAATGGGAGTTGAGATTTGTTTGAAGTACAGCTTTTCTGTTGTTTTTCAGGTACTGCTGGCCCAATACAAGGCAACTGGGAAGCTGTATGCCATCAAAGCCTTGAAGAAAAAAGACATTATCAGGAGAGATGAAATTGATAGGTGAGCTTTGTTTGGAGATGGTACTATTGCCAGAGGCTGAGTTAACACACCTGTAATCAAGTGTTAGTATGATGTGTTCTGGCCATGGTACTGTTAAGGTTAAATATGACCTTAAGTCTTGGATAACTAAAATCAAGAATAAGGAAACTTATAATGGGGTCTAACTTTTGTAAGAATGACACCTGGAGAACCCTCTAAAAGTCAAGGTTTGCAAGTGTATAAGAGAAATATTTGCATTGGCCCTCACTTTTTATTTCTCTAACTTAAGATGTAATGATTTTCTCCTTCATCCTGTCTTGCTCAAAACAGCCTTTTCTGCCAAGTTGTAACATTGATGTTTTTGTCCTTTGAATCCTGGCAGCTTGAACTGTGAGAAGAGAATATTTGAAGTGGTCAATTCTTCTGATCACCCATTCCTTGTGAACATGTTTGCATGTTTCCAGACACCTCATCATGCCTGTTTTGTGATGGAATACACTCCAGGTGGGGATCTGATGATGCGCATACACGAGGATGTCTTTCCAGAGCATATGGCACAGTGAGTTAGAATTAGTCAGCTCTCCAGGCACTATAAATTTTTAACTCGAATCTCATATATATTTCCTGATAACTGTTTCTGTCTTTTAGGTTTTATACAGCCTGTGTAGTCCTGGGGCTCCAGTTCTTGCATGAGAAGAAAATTGTTTATAGGTAATGCAGCAGAGACTCAAGTATAAGTTTGGCAACTTGGAAGTTGGTTTCTCCTGTAGCTGTGTCTGGAGCTCACTGTTTTGCTGGGGTTTCTAATCTTTCTGTCTGTCTTTATTTCCTCCACTGCCTGTTGCTATCAGCATGTTCATCGTGCTCACAGTAAAGAAAGTCACCTAGAAGCAGTTCATCTGGCATGTTGCAGGTGATTAATCCTCTGTGACATGTCAATACATTCTGGGGGGCACCTGTAAGTTACTGCTTTCCTTTTTTCTTGGTAGTCAAGTAATTTGTCATGCTGTTGTGGGAGCCCTGTTCCAGATGACTTAGCCCCACTCAGCTCGAAGCTGCTTTGTGAGCCTTTTGTTTAGAGGAAAATATCAATAAATTAAGGGGAATCTTCCAAATAATACATGATTTAAACCAAATGTAGACTTTACTCAGTTTAGGTTTTATTCTGTTTATTAACACTACCTTCTACCTCTTGCAAAAAAATATGTTGGATGGCATTCCTGAGACTTCAGCCACTGTTTTCTTAAATCTCCTTTGCCTGCAGGGACCTGAAACTGGATAATCTCCTTTTAGATGCTGAAGGATTTGTGAAGATTGCAGATTTTGGATTGTGTAAGGAAGGTGAGGGACTGGAGAAGCTGAAATGGAGCCATGAGGATTAGTTTAGGATCTGGGCTGTAGTAAGTGGATGTGTGTAACTTGTATTAATTCCCATTTTAAAAATTAAAAGAAAAACAAAAAAACCCAACAAACCAAACAACAAAAAACCTCACCTATCAGGCCATGATGAACTTGGGAAGAGTACTTTGTCCTTTAATCTTCAGGAAACCCGTGAAGGCTTTTAAAATGTGCTTGTTTGTTCAAGGAGCCAGAATATAGGATACTATAAAATGTGTCCATGAGTAAATGAGCAATGGAGTCTGCAGGAGGTTTTCTTGGTTTTGCTGTTTATTTAAGCACTGTCTGTATATTTGTTATTTGGAGCTGTTGGGGGCCTCAGGTTTCCCATTTCCTCACTGGCATTTACAAGCCTTAGTGGGAACTCTTGCCCAGGTAACAACATCAGGTGACAAACTACAGCTCTCAGAGGCAAGGCTGCCTGTGATCCATTCAGTTATGTGTGCTGGATTTTACAAGTGTCCTTTTCCAACAGGAATAGGTTTTGGAGACCGGACAAACACCTTCTGTGGCACCCCTGAATTCCTGGCTCCAGAAGTCCTGACGGACATCTCGTACACACGGGCAGTGGACTGGTGGGGACTGGGTGTGCTCATTTATGAGATGCTTGTTGGTGAGGTAAGGCCACCTTTCCTCAGGGGATCTCACTAACCAGGCTTGGGGACCAGACCACTTCAGAGAAAATTTGCTAAATGTAGCCAGTTATTTATTATTACTTCAGTTACATTTTTCTCATTCCTTGTACTTGCCAAACGTTAATTAATCCAACAGCTCCCTGCTGTTCTCATCCCTATTTAATAGTGAGGAGTGGGTGGTATTTGTATTAAATAATAGAATGTCCCCATTGCAGTCACCATTCCCTGGAGATGACGAGGAGGAAGTCTTTGACAGCATAGTCAATGATGAAGTCCGGTATCCACGATTCCTTTCAGCTGAGGCACTTTCTATAATCCGGAAGGTAATGGGCTTGGTGGGTCTCTGGGAGCCTGAGGAATTGTGAGTGGATCCAGAGGGACTCAATTAGGACTGGATACATCTGTGTGTGTAATCTGGAGCTGCCTACACAGACTAAGGAAACATTTAACATTTACACGTATTTTTCCTTTCCATCTCTTTACATAAATGCAGTCCTTCTGTGTAAGGATGACTAAGCAGGCTGCTTACTGTTCCTGCTAAGTCTGACATGGAGAAGTGTTGATTCAAGGGCAGGAGTGTCAGAGCCATTCAGTGGAGATGGCTGGACTCAGGGTTTGAATGTGACCCTGTAGTCACAGGTGCACAATTAAGCTGAGATGCTTCACGCAGTTTATAGCAGGTATCTTATTGCTGTTGGCAAGTTGTTTACAAGGAACTAGGTCTGAGCTATTCCTGGCAGATGACCTTGGTGCAAAGTGAAAATGAGAAGATACTGAGGGCTCAGTCCATCCCCTTTCTTTTGTTTTTCTCTCTGGAACATTATTTCTGTCCATCCTTGTTCCCGCTGTTTAATTTTGTACCGATATTTCTGCAGCTGCTTCGGAAATGTCCAGAGCGTAGACTGGGAGCAGGGGAGAAAGATGCAGAAGAGATTAAAATCCAGCCCTTTTTTAAGGTAGGAACTCGCTTTATTTCCCTCCCCATCATTTTTTGTGTCTGAGCTGAGAGTGATTTGCTCTCTGTTGGTGTTGAGGCATATTTCCATTAGTGAGATCTTAGTGATAGTTTCTGTTGCACCTCATTGCTCCATTCAGGAATATGTGTTTTAATTCACAGTTGAAATGGCATCCCACGTGTTTTCTGGGATCTGTAAGCTGCCAGAGCCCCTTTGTTATTTCTGATTGTGCTGCTTCTATGTACAAATACAACCAACTTTAGAGACATCAATAAATACTCCTTTTTAAATGAAGCTGCAGCATCAAAGATGCTGTGTAGTGATGGCAGTGATTGCCAGTCAGTCTATTTGATGGCAGCTGCATTTGTCAATCTGGCTTGTTCCCTTCTCTTACAGGGAATTGATTGGGATGCCTTGCTTGCCAGGAGACTGAAGCCCCCCTTTGTGCCCACGTTGAGAGATCCAACAGACATCAGCAACTTTGATGAAGAGTTCACCTCCCAAAAGCCAATCCTCACTCCCCCCGAGAGGGTTGCTCTCCTCACCCACAAGGAGCAGACTGTCTTCAAGAACTTTGACTTTGTTTCCAGACACCTTTTAGATGTGTGACTCCTGTGCCATACAAAACATGAAGAGATTGTTACCACCTTGAGAGGACTTGGCATGGGCAGTGGAAAAGTCAACAGGATCCCTAGTACAGGTAGTGCTGCCCTGCAAGCTGAGTTAACGTGCTGTGGGTTTCCCAGCCCCATTTGTTGGAGGGATCCTGGATGTCAGTTATCTTTAAGGAATAATTAATGTTTGACTGGATGTATCTTCTGCTGTCACTGAATATAGATGGAAATTTGGAATTTAAGCTGGACTCAAATCATCTCTTCAGCCCAGGTTACTCTTTGAAAAAAGCCTAAGTAAGTAGTGTGGCTTTTTAAAGTTGTAGAGTAGCAGGGGAGTGGCCTCTTCTCACCTATTTTCTAGAGAAGAGATGCAGCATTTCCTCCTGGTAATGATTTTATGCCATTTCCCACTCATAAATATGTGTATGCCAGACAAGGAGTGGATTTTAACATAACCAAGACAATGATTGTTTGATAACGATCCAAGTGATTTATCTTAAGGAAAATTAATCTCTTTCTACTTCTTTAAGGATGCCAAATATTAGCCATTGTTTTTAATGATATAAAACCCCACAGCTTTGCACGTTTTTCCTTTTTTTTGAAAATAAAGATATCTTTCCTTATATTAAATGTTCAGCTTTTCATCTCCTTTGTGTTCGCTGAATGTTTTAGATTAGGGCTAACCACAGTCTGCTCAACAGGCAGGATTTTATTTTGCTCTGTAAATGTCAATAGTAATATTTTTTTTCTTCCTTCTCACTCAGGTTGTCTGTGTACATATTGCATGGTGTCATCAGCTGGCACATACCAATGACTGCAGTCAGGTTGTCTCTCCACACAGTTTATCAATGTGTATATCCTGCATCTTTTTTGGGGACAGCTAAGTAATGACTGTTAACACTGGAAAAACACCAAGTCAAAGACTATTTCATTTGCCTGGTAAAATACCTTGTAATTATACTTAATAAGATACATTTTCATCTCTTAAATCCATGTTACCTTGTTGGGCTAAAAGGGAAGGTTGAAGCATCACACTGATGCAAACAGGGACAGAGTCATTGCTCTTTCAGTTTTTCTTTGCCAGATGTAGACAGGAGGGGGACTAAGGCAGCTGATCTGATCTGGAGATAAGGATCTAGAGAATTGGCCTTGTTAAACCAGGACTGGTCCAAATGCTTCAGAATTCAACACAGTAAGAGCTGTGTTTGTGCAAAACACACTGAACCTGGATTTCCTATTTTCAGAGCCAAGTATAAGTGCTGCTGAAAATTCCCTCCTACAAAGGTCCTTTCAACCTCCTGCTCAGACTGACAGGACACTGGCTCCTTTGGAGCAGGATACACGTTTTCCTTGCTGCTGTTTGAGTGGTAACAGTTGGCTGTTGGCCCCTCTGGTGTGTTTTGTGGCTTTTCTTAAGGTCAAGGCCACTGTGAAGTGGGAAGTAGCACAGTGGATTGTTAGCACAGGTGAAACCTAGAACTTGGGTTCAAAGAGAGAGGCATAAAGAATTAAAGAACGCATATTTAATATTTTATTTTATAATTTAGAGTAAAAAAAAAAGGAAAGTTATCATCCCAGTGCTTTTTAAAAGTAATTACCAAAGAGAGCAAAACTGTGCTTTGAGCTGTAGTACCTGCTGACAAATTTCTACTTGACTGACACCTTAAGAACCAGAAAAGGTGATCCAGACTTCAGCAGGCACCACAGTGACACCAACAAACTACAGAATCCATTCTGGATGCTATTACAGTGTCACAAAACCAACCCTTAGTGTTTTTATATCCCTCATAAGAGCTTCTACCCTGAACAAACCAGGCTGGGAACTGATCACAAACTCTGGACTTGGTCTAAAAAGGAATCTTTTGCTGGTTTTGAACTGCTTTTGGACTGTCATGCTGTGTTAGTGACTACACTGTTCTTTCATGAGTGTTCATTAACTTTAAACCCCGAGTGCATCCTCCTGGCTTGCCAGATGTGCTCCTGAGCTGGTGTCAGTTCCTGAGCCAAGGCAATTAAGGCACAAAATAATTTTAACTAACATTTTGTTGTGGTGTTTTTTGGTGTTTGGTTGTTTTTTGTTTTGTTTTGTTTTGTTTTTTTAACAGAAAAGGGTCAGGACTAAAATTGACACCACAGCCTTCTCTGTTTTTAAAGCTGAAGTTGGCCATCCCAAACTTCCTTTTAATATCCCATGGAAAATTGAAGTATGACCTTTTATTTCAATGGAAAACAAGTACACTTGCTGCTGTCCTGGAAGCTGTCAGCACTCCTCGTCTCATCCACCAGGACCTGGCAGCTTTCCCCTTGCACTGAAATTGTATTCTTTTATTAAAATCTCACTAGTATGTTGAGGTAGTAGTAGTTTTACCAATAACTCAGTAGCCAAGCATAACTTTTCTATCCAGAGAAAAGTGGATGGTATTATTCTTTGCTGACTTAGTTCAAAATAGCCTGTGAATTGGTAACAGCAGCATCAACTTAAAAAGCTGTGAGGAAGCTGCTCAGGGCATCACAAAGTACAGGCTAATTATCTCATAAGCTGAATTGGGTGTCTTACAGCTGTTTCTCATGCACATTAACAGTGTTAAGCCTCAAAGCTTTGTGGAAAGCATTAACTTGAGGCATGTGGATGAAATGAAATTTGCTTTTGACTGTCTAAATATTTACTCAAGTATTTGTTTCATGCCCAGTACTACTGACAAAAGGCACTGTAGTTCTCACAGTCAGAACTAGGCTGAAGAAAGGCCACAGGAATTATATTGAACCTGGCTGGTTTTGTCTGTAATTGCTGCTTTTTCCTAGCAGCAAAAGGAAAGGGAGACCTCAGGGAAGAGAATTCTTCAGGAGATGTGGATGCAATTAAGAAAAGGAAATAAATTTAGAGAGATACCTTTGCTCAGACCAGAAATCAGCTCTGCTGGCCTTGGCCTTCCCAGAACCAGTGTCTCATCTTTAACAGTGTTATTTGTATATAAAAAATAACCCTGGCTATTCCTGAAATGTACTTTGCAGGACGAGCAGGTTGTGGAGCAGGTTGCACAGTCCGTGATGTGTTAAAGTTCAGTGCAAGGAAGCAGCAGCAATTGCACGAGCAAAGCTCTGCCCAGCAACCTGCAGGTGTGTTGGTACTCCTGGGACTAGACAGGCTCACTGTTCCTGTGGAAATAGATTTGCTCCCATGCAGTGAGGTGGCGTGAGCAGAAGAATCTCCAGAGGTTGAGGATTATCCCCTGGTCAAAGGGATTCTCCAGCTCGGAGTGGCGCAGGTAGGAGATGCGGTGGTGGGACATGAACTCCCAGGTTGTGGTGTTGCACGAGATGAGGTACAGGTGGGAAACAAGCAGCAGCAGGACCACAGTGGTGAATATGACTATCAGGAGGAAGGAGAGCAGGAGGAAAATGTTGTACTTCAGCCATTCCCAGGACTGTTGAAAGTAGAGGCCTGACCTTTCAATTCAAAGAGAAATAAATCTGCAGTTAAAGGAGCAGAATAAGTTCCATAAACCTGATGGCACATTTAAGTTTGATTCATAACTAGTGAGCTGCTGATAATCCTTTACTACACAGAGTTAATATACTGTAAAGTCCTGAGAGACTGCACCTTTAGGGATTGGAATCTAAGAAGTTCAGAAATGCTGGTTCCCCTGACAGCTGAGAGACAATCGCCTTGAGTTAACTCCTCTCCTGAACAGCTGGAACCCTGATGGAGTTTCCAGCACTTGGATTTGTAAACAAAGATCAGTAACTGAAGCAAAATGAACAATGAAACCTAAATTATCAGATTCTGCTCAAGATTAGGGGGCTCCAGGATGCAAAAGACAGTGAAGATCCAAAGCCAATCCAATGTTCTACACCAGCCCTTCCATGGGCCTCGAGGAGCACCACAGCCATCTCAGGGGTCCAAAAGCCACCTCCTGCCCTTACCAAGCAACGTGGCCTCCCCACAGCAGAACCACCAGCTGCACAGTCAGGTAGGCTATGAAGAGGGGGTGGTTCCTTTCTCCCACACAGTTCTCGATCCAGGGGCAGTGGTGGTCGTAGCGCCGCACGCAGTGCTGGCACAGCTGGCAGTGCCTGGCTCTCATGGGCTGCTGCAAAACAGAGACAATCAATCAGAAAAAGAAAAAAACTCACTGGCAGTAGTCACTGCAGTAGTGCTGTCCCACTCCCTGCTTGGTAGAACAGAACATCATGCAAAACTCTTCCTCCACAGCAGTCCTGTCCCTAAAGCACTCCAGGGTGAGACAACAGCACATCAGCATTGCTAAGAACAGCTCAAAGGGGTTGTGATTCCCCTGCTACAGACCCGAATGGGTGAGATTCAAACTAAGTGACTCTCCCACATTATTTCTATCTACACATCTTTATTATCTACATATTTATAGGAAGTCCAGTGTGCCACGGAGGGAGACAGAGCCAATGAGTCCATTCAGGAAAGCACGGGCAGACTATTGAGGTGAGAAACTAGGACCACTGCTGTTGAATAGAGTGGGCAGGGATGGGATGTTTTTAAGGGATGCACAGAGGGGGGAATTGTCTGCTTCTGTCAGTACAAGACACTTGCACAGGAAAGCAGCTCAAATACCAGGAACAGAAAAGATGAAAGACCTGACTGAGAAAAGCAGTGATTCCTAAGATTTGTGCCCTGAAGCATCAAAATGCTTTGCCAGCTTTTCCTCCTGCAATAAGCTCACTTCTCCTGGTAGATATTCTTTAGGAATTTATGGAAGCTGGGATAATGCTTAATTTTATTAAACCGATAAGGATCACTCTGAAAACAGGCCTCTCTAGGCTTTAGGCAAACTGTTTTAAGAGCTAATTAAATTGCTCTAATTTCTCCTTCATGCTGTCTTTTACCATCCAGGCCAATGTTCTGTTGTTTTAAGGCCTCCAAACAAGCTCTCAGTGATGATCAGTTCACACAGGGCCTTCAACTGCCCTTCTGACTATCAAGGTATGTTCAAAATAACCTTCTCGACACTGGTTGACATGGCAGTAAGAATGCAGAATACAATTTTTCCATGGCAAAAGAAGATCCTTGTTTCTACAAGCCAGCAGGGACTTCCAGCCTTGGAAAACTGGCCTTTGTGCCAGTGTCCATCACTGCTACATGTGTAGCTACACAATCTGGCCTCCTCTGAGCAGCACCGATGGAGCAGAAAAACACCAACAGCAGCAGCTGAACTTTCAGATCACTCATCCCACCCTGTTCCAGCATGTTCTGGATGCCCACCTTCACCAGGCAGTAACCACAGCGCCGCAGCTTCACATCACCCACAGCCTGGGGGATCACCAGGCCCTGTCCTTCAGCCTCCCCTGCCTGCAAAAAAGAGACAGAGGAAGGTTTGTGTGGTGCTGTCTTGGCATGACTGAGCTGTCTTACTGCATCTTTTTACTTAGCAGTTACACAGTGCTGGTTATCTCTATCATTAGGAAAGTTAAACAAAATAATTCCTTGGAATTCCTAGAGACACTGCAGTTGTGGTACAGTGAGAGAGAAGGGGCTCCTGTAACCACGCAAAGAATGTTTGCATAGAGGCAGAAATAACTCTGGACAAGACACACTTTGGGACAAAAACAAGATTTCATTTCCAAACACAATAATGATGTCTTTTCAGTATAAGCAGTGCTACTTATTCATCCACAGCCACACTCACATTAAGGATGGAAGACCAAGACTGATCATGCTTTTGTCCTGCACAGTCTGGCAGGCAGTGAACCTCAGGCAGACTATCAGTTACTGGAACTTTGCATCTCCATTTATCTCACTGTAACTTGTTTGTGTGCGTGTCCTCTGAGAGAGCAACAAATCCATAAACAGTTCAATAAACAGGGCTGCAGAGAGCACTGTCTGCCAAGCCTGCCCTTCAATTTAGGTTTTTGTGCACTTGTACCACTTAAGCAGCAGTTAGAATAAAATAGGTCATGTACACATTCTATAGGGCACTGCAGCCTCTGCTGGAAGAGAGGACTTGGGCTCAAATGGCACAGTCACTTACAAGGTCAGTGTGGTGTGAAAGGCACATTTAAAGTCTGAACCCTTTTGCTGCTGTTACAGAATACGAATGTGAGGCAGTCTGGTCTCATCTCCGATGGGCTGTGCATGTTTCCTTCATGCCAGCACAACAGAAACTATTTCAC